ACGTGTGTGTGTGTGTGTGTGTGTGTATATATATATATATATATATATATATATATATATATTGAAAGATCTACTTGGCACCATGTGCTCCCCTTAAGCACTTGGTAGCAGTAAGCTGTTTTAAATTCAGTGAGAGCTGAGGGGGAGGAGGATGGGGTATTTATATGTCTGCGTGTGTCTCCTGAAGTAGGAGGAACTAGTCATCTCTCACGTAGCTGTCCTGGAAATACATTTTCCGGTAAGTCTTACTGGGAATTTCAATAGTGTGTCTATCTGTTTACCTGGAGCTCCACTTTAGGTACAGTTGGTACCCATAATTTGCATTAAAACATTATTTCACAAAGTAGATGAAATCTCCATTTACGAGAAATCTCTCAAATGTGTATCTGAACGGCACTTGTTGGAGTAAGGAGCAGTAATTCAGTCTTTTGCTAACTTAACCAAATGAGGGTTCCATTTAATTTCTCTTCTTTCTTTAATTTCATCTAGTTGGAAGGAAAGGCAGTCCTAATCACAGGCTGTGACAAAGGGTTTGGATTTGCTTTGGCAAAGCACCTGCACAAATTGGGATTTCAAGTATTTGCAGGTTGTTTATTAAAGGTGAGTACCAGAAACATGGTTGATGATCCTCACTTTTTATCTCATTCTCGAACTGAATTTTAGAGCTTAATAAGTGATTGTAGAAAATGAGCAGAAACGTTTATTAAGCAGCCAAAAGCCTTACTTAAGGTATTGTCATGAGAGAATTTAAAGGAGAGATATTTGGCAGAGTAAAATATACTGTTCCCAATACTCTGAGCCAGTGGGGGACACTGCAGCTGTCACATGCCAGCTGTATTCCAAGAACTGAGCAATCATGTAACCACTGATTGCTCAGCTCACGGTCTTCTCCCTGCAGAGAGTGGTGACTGCCAGTCACTGCTCCCTGCCGGGATTCCCCCTTCCCCTCTCTGTTTCTCCAGTGCTAATTTCATGGACAGGCAGGGGAAGGGGCGGGCGCAGCTGGCTCTGGCTCTAGAAATGCAGAGCCAGCTGTCAATCAGGCAGCAGGGTGGATCCCAACAATACTGACGGGATTCTTCCCAGCTGAAACGCAGCTCTGCGCTGTTGGCAAATAGCAGGCAGTAGCTCCCTATCTGCTGACTTTGGGTCACAGGAGTACATTTGTAAATGTATTCCTGTGACCCAAAGAAAAAGAGTTGGCTTTACTTTACTTTTAAGAGGCTAAATTGCTGACCTCTCCTTTTAAGAACATTGGTTTCCTGACAGTCATGCCAATGCATTGGCTTCACTGCTTTGAGTCACTGTTCTAAAACTCACTTGCTTGTTCCAGGCCTGGGTTTTGACACAGCCATGCCACAAGCATTACAAGAAGGAGACGAGCATGTGCACACCTCCCCCTTGACTTTAATTTTGACAGGTGTATTTTAAATTAAACCTGTCATTAAAGCGATGCTGTCATAAAGAAACATTTTTCAGGCTGCTCTAGTAGATTACATGTTTACAATTGGCACTTTGTTAATGCTGCCCTTGCAGCGTAGTTTATTATGCCTTCTGTCAATAACAGCAATGCAGTTTTCTTCTGGATAGCCCTCACTGCTCTCTGTGCAGGCACATGCCCCACACAGCTTCAGGCATTGGAAGCTTCACAGCTTCATACTTTACAGGTCACAGATTGTATCTGTATAAAAACCCTCTGCAGTCTGCCAGCTCCAGTGAAGAAGTATTTGGGGCTTGGTGTTGCAAGCCAGGAGGAGGCATTTCGCTCTTCCCAGGAGCAGAGGAAGCAAGTCAAGTGCCTGCGTGCAGGGTTATGAATAGCCTTTAATTGATCATGATTATGTTGCACAAAGTAATCTCTGCTGTGGTTATAGTTACACCTTTGAAAAATGCTTATTAATTGCCCACTGTGATAATGCAGAATCTTTGTAGGTGTGTTGGTTAACTATCTCCTGGGATTCACTAGGACCTATTTCTGTAGCTAGATTATCTGTCGTCCTGAAATCGGTATCTATGAATCCATTGATGCCCTGCTGGTGGCCAGTAAATGCATTTGGCCTGACCTGCCTTCAGAGTCCCTATTTCTTAAACAGTGATTTTTCTCTCTTCCCTTCAATCCCCAGTTTCTGTGAGGGTGAAGAGTAAAATGGTGTGATATCCTGAAATTCAGTGCTGGGCACTGTTGTTGCTACCATTCTATCACAGGTAATAATGATTCTCTGCTGCTAACCTAATCATGGTAACAGTTTTCACTTCTGGCCTGCTACTAAACATCATCACTAAGCATAAAGGCTTGGCAGTGCGTATTTTTCATATCTTGTGTAGGCATCCTCGACATGGGTTAGAGGCCGGAAATTAGCAAAACAACATAACTAGCCTTAGCTGCATTATCCTACAGTCGGCCACAGGATAATGATGCATTGTAAAGGGATTCTATAGATCTTTCCATTTCTTTTTTAAATCTACATGGGACAGAGATTAACTTTAATCTTCTTATCTTGCTGCCCATAGATAGAACATTAGACTTTCTCTAGTAATTACTATTAGCCAGAGTACATGTCACCTAGGCTTCCAAAGATTATTATAGCAAGTTTAATGAAAGATCTACTTGCATCCGCCCCCTCCTCTTTTGAGGTTTTTTTTTTGTGGGTTAACTAGTAGTGCCATTGCCTGCCACACCAGTCCACAATGCCATTGTAATTAACATTAAAATCTTAGTACTTTTAGGTATGAGGAAGCAGGTGATCCTTCCCCTGCCCTCAATGCAGTGCTCTGTTCTTGAGTAGCAAATCGCTAGGCTTGAACACTGGGGGGGTGCCTAACATTGTGCTAAAATCAACTTTCAGGATGAGTCAACTTTTGCACAGAATCTTTGCAGGGGGGGCACCAGCACCACGAAAGAGTTATGGCACAAGAGGGTGGCTAGTACAAAATGTTTGGGATTTCTTTGGCCTCGAGACAGGTTTGCTTTAAGGTATGTAGTGCCTTAAGCAGACAAAATTAGAAAAATTATGGAGACTAAGGTAATACAGATAGAAAAAGTCAAATTGTGGTGGTCATCATTTTGTTTTTCCTTCTATAATGACCTGTGCCTTTTATATGTTGCCGTTTGCACATCATTTTTCAGCATTATATACTAGAAACATTGAGAGACTAGAATTCCATGTAATATTCACTAGAATGTGCATTTAGTTATTCATCTAACTAAAGTTGTAGACTTTTGATCAGTCTAAGCAGAAAACTGCTGGAGCAGTGAAAGCGAAAATGAGGCTTTGTAAGTATGTTGGGCTGCTAATCAGTAGCAGTCTTGTAAATATCTAAACTTATCTGGATTAACCTTTTTCCTCCTTTTTTATCCACTTTTTTTTTGCACTTAACTGCATAATTACCAGGAGGCAAGTATGTAGCCTATTTATAATTATTTTTTTTATTTCAAAATGGCTCACACCAAGCTTTACACAGTGCTACACTGTTCCCAGCAAAAAAAAAAAAAAAGAGTATGAAAAAATGTGTTGTGTGTTGATGGTCCTCAAGCCTAGGCTTTCAGGACATGGGGTCCTGCACACACAGGCACATATATGTTATATGACACTTTCTTCATTTCATTCATAGGACACTATACTGCGTTCCAATTTTTTACAGTATCACCCTCTCACTGTCCTTCTAGGAGCTATGATCTAAAAACACAACGCACAGCACACCCCCTGTCATGCATCCTTGTAATCTACATTCGGTGCAGGGATGACCCTCTTTTGGAGTGATAGTTTTAAAAACTGCAGAACCAGCACACGACGATCTTCCAAAGAAAATCAAACTTTATTCCACATACATCTATACAAAAAAACAACCGCAAACGTGTTTCTGCCTCCTCTGCCTTAGTCATAGCTGGTTGCGAACCAACACCCACCCCACTAAAATAGCACACCACATAGGACGGCGAGAAGCACTCGTGAGCGCCTGTATCTAATAAACAGTCCATGTAATCACATTAAAACATTAAAAACATTGAAACATCTGCAGCACCAATAAAATGCAACATCATGCTTGTCGTCCTTCCAAGACGACGATTATTTTATAATGCTGCATTATTTTATAATAAGGTGTGACATGGACATTAAACATAGGAAAGTCAGAAACCTCTTTATAGTTGTTTTTTTGTTGTTTTTTTAGAAAGTTGGCAGATTCTAAAATGTCTTCAATGTAAATGTTGAGTGAGATCCATTGCATTCAAGCTGCAGCTGATCATATGTTCTGATGTATGTTTGCTAGGTCATGCAGATCCTTTGGAATTGTTATGCAGCTTGGAACTTGGATTTATTTTAAAGCACTGTAATTAATATTTTATGCATTTAAAGTGCATGTTGTTGGAAATATTTAGGAAAAAGTTAGTACACATCTCCATTACCTGCATTTCCCCGTGTTTTTGTCTCTTTCAACATTGAAATTAATCGGGTTGCATCGGAGTACTGAAGCACATTTGTAAAGCACAACACTTTTTCTGTTACTTTAAATCTAAATTTTGTAAAGCAGCGTTAAGGCCTTGCTATTATTGTACCCTTAAGTGTCACTGTACTCGTAGTCTACACGGAAAACTAAATGGATTATGTGCCTTATTTGAATTGTGTTCGCCCCATTTGCTTTCCCTTCCCAACCTGCTGTGCTTCTGAAAGAGCCACATGCCACTAGAAGCAATTCTTGGAGCACGAGGACTGCTCAGGCGGCTTAAAGCACAATCCCCTTTTTTGTCTCCCAAATGTTCCTTCTGTGCTAACTGGGTGCAGCTTCCAATCAATGCAGCAGGATGTTAAAGCGAGACTAAACTCGGGTTAATTCTTAAAAATGCATTCAAGTACCAAAACCATTAACAGAAATCTTATTTGTGTATCACTCAGGTTGAAAAAAAGTAGCCACCCTCCAGAAGGAAGGACAGTGTCAGCACCAATTCAGAGATGATTTGAGGATCTACAGCTGAGTGATACACAAATAAGCTACATTTTTGTTAATAGTTCATATAATTGAATGCATTTTAAGGACTTAACTCCTGAGTTTAGTGTCACTTTAACATTTAGAAACCAGGGGACTACAGGTTATAGTGGGAAGAGGGGGTATACTGATCATGTGTGCCCATGAAGCTCTGTTAGTCATTCAACCAGGGAGAGCAGTGCCAAGTGGAGAAATGATTAAAGTGTCTACACAAGACCGCATCGAGGAGGAGATAAGTTTTGCAGCAAACGCTACTATTTTTTTTCTTTTCTTTTTACATTTGCTTGGCAATGGAATTTTTTAAACAATCTTAAGTATAAGAAGACAAATAGTTATGTGTAAAGTACAGTAACCCATAGCAGCCAATTAGAATTTTTTTCTGTGG